GTAATCCCTAACTGCTTCCCAGGCGCTTGCATAGCTGCCCACTGCTCCACCTGGGAGTATCTCACATGTGATGGGTTAAATGCAGAACTAATTTCATCACTGTATTGAAACAATGACTATGATACACACAGCACTTTCTTCTTCTTCTTCTTTTTCACAGTTGCGTTATTATTCAATACAATTTGAGTAAATATGTCCAAACTTATAAAAAAGCTTTCTGAGCAAAGCATAGATCGCTAGTCCTTTTCTTCCCTTCACCTCGTTCCGGTGATTAACTTTAGAAGCACTCCGAAATAAGTGACATGCATTTAGACAGGTGTGGACACAAATATAACTCAGTGTGGATTTACCTGTGTGGCGAGCAGCATTCTTTCTAGAAGCATCTTTTAAGGACCCTGCAGGAAGGTGGGGTTGGACTTTCACCACACCTTCCTGAGGATGTGCCAGCAGGCTGCCGTTTCTTATAGTTGGTTCTTGGAAATATGGAATTGTGATCTCTCCCCCTACAGGATCATGTTTGTGGAGAAACTACTTTAACGATAGATTAATGTAACTGAGATAGAGCTGCAACATCCACATGCAATCGGAGTTTTTACTTCCTTAAAGCAAGCCACAGAAGTGCAAGAACAAAATTGAGAAAACGAGTGACGAAAATAAACTCAAGTGAACTCAGATCTGAGTAGATGGGCGTTATTAGTAATTGTCAAAATTAGGTTGAAAGTCTAAAACCTACAAACTCTTCCACTAAAATGTTTAGACACAATTGAGACCAATATGTTTTAGTAGGTTCTGCTTTGTGTCTTTTAAATCTACTCCAATAATTTTATTAATATAAAAAAAATATATATAAACGTGAACTATCCCCATTTAAACCGCAAGACAATCATTCAATTGAAATTTGCCAATTAAATAAAATCTGGTCATCATCTCTGGTATTTCATAAAAAATAAACATTATTGATGTGCTTATACTATGGAAAGATGTATTTTAATGTAAATGAGACAAAAAAACACTAACCTTTTTTAAAACTTTTAAAAGTAAAAATATTTATTTCCCTTGCGTAGCATTAAGGACTCCATTGTACTTTTAAAAAAGAAGGTACAAATGTAGGTTAAGGGAGGTCATCCTTCTTGCATTCTACCCATAGTTTACTTCAGATGTATGTTGCGGCCACTGGCACCAATAAATCAATACTTGATGATTCAAAGCCTCTTCATCCTGTACATTTCCCCCTAGTGACATGCGGTTAACTGGGAGCTTATGTCCATGCAGTATCCAATGTCATCACAAACATCCCCCTCTGGATATCTGGCTGAAGGACCACAGAAACCACAGATGGAGTAAGGATGTACTGAACAAGCTGAACTTTAGATTTCAGTAAAATAAATAATTATATATACTGTATACATAGATAACACAATCAATAGATTTGGTCTCTAAATAACAATAGTTAAAGTTTGAAAAGTAAATGGTAAATGGTAAATGGAGCTTACTTCTATAGCGCCTTCCAGCCCCCTATGAGGGGCCCCAAGGCGCTTTACAGTACCAGCCATCCACCCATTCACACGCACATTCATACACCGGTGGCGGTAGGCTGCCATGCAAGGCGCCATCCAGTCCCACCGGGAGCAACTCGGGGTTAAGTGTCTTGCCCAGGGACACAACGGCACATGGTGTGGGAAGTCGGGATTCGAACCTCCAACCTTCCGATCAGAGGTCGGCTGCCACTACCACTGCACCACGGCCGCCCAAGTAAGTAGAGGAACTTTTTTTTTTTTAAACTCTTTTCTGCTCCCGGTCTCTTCCTGCTCATTTATCCACCCTAGCTACATCTTTAACACCATGCTGACTCAAACTGAGGGTACCCCCTTGAGAAACAGCCAAATAAAGGTGCAAAGACACCCCGACACTTCATTAAAGCCTTTATGTGAAGAAACGGCAACGCTTACAGCTACAGTGTGCAACTTTGTCTTTGTATCTTGGCAATTTTTAATTAAACACCTACGCCATGAAAGATCAGGCTGTAGTTCTCTATACTTTCAGTTTACAACAAAAGACTAAGACTTGTGTATTTTTCCCCTTTAGCGGTTTCATATTATTGTTGCTGGCATGTATGCTGCTATGTCAGAATGAGTAGACACTATGACTGACTGGATGCCAGTAACTTTAGTAATCCTGCCACAAAAAACCCCCCACTATTTTAATTCAGTCGGACAGTCCATTTAAGTCTGAATAAATCTGTACATTATCTACAAAAAGTTTTGTACAGTTAAATGATCTTGGGAAGGAAAAAAAAAAAAAAAGAAGATTTTCCCATTTTACACTGAACCATCTCTTAAACTAATAGAATTACCACAAAATTTTGAGCACACAGGATGACTTTGGGGATTCATTGACCTATTTTAAATGGCATTTCCCAACAACCCTATTGAATAGAACATCAATAAAATTAGTACATTTATACTTGCAGCTTAATTGCTTTATTTGTTTCCCCCCTCAAGAACTATATGGTTAGTATTTGCAACAGATATTGGTAAATAAATAAAATAAATAAAAGAAAAACCTGATGAGTACATTTTTTTTTGAGTCTCAGCCAGAGAGGCTTTTAATATTTTGCACATTTTGAAATCAAATACCTGCACTAGAAGGAAAACACAGGTACGTCTAAAAACTATTTTAATATTGTGAAAAAGTTTTTGTGAATCGTTTCAGAAAGTGAAACTCAGAGATCTGACAAGGTTGAGTCAGGTCCTCTGGACGGATTCTTCCTTCTTGCAACGTTTGTGTCTATTATCCAAAAGTCTTCAGTCTGAGGAGCAAACGACGAGGAAGAGTTCCAGTTGATCATATCCAGCAATCCTCTCAGTGGCGCAGCGATTTTCTCAAAATTTAGACAAATTGCTCCTTTCAGAATGTGTCCTGAATGTGTGCATTTGTGACCTTGATTGGAGTCCAGTTTCTGCAGTTCACTGATTATTTTACTGATCCTTCAGGTTTTTTTTTTTTTTTAAAGATGAGCATATTAAGTTTCCTCAGGCATGCCGTTAAGTTGGATGAAAATCTTACAGTTGAGTCAGAGCGCTTAGCTCTTTTTCACTAGTTTCTTCAGGTACCTTGCTTTATGGCTACGTCGGCGTTGTGTTTGGTGAAATGTTCATAGATAAAAGATGTCAGAACCTTTTGGTTTCTTGCCCTGTTTTAGAAGCAGGTGTGCTTTCTACAGACAAACCTGACGATGACGGTCCGTTTGTCACATGTTTCTTCTTGGCAGGGTGTGGCATGCCTCGATGCAGGCAGTCCAGGTCAATGCCTCTGGCCTGCAGCCACCTGTTGCTCTGTGGAGCCAGCATCCAGCTCTGCAAGCTCCCCTTCGCTGTCAGCAGACACCGCCCGAGCAGATGACCGCAGACTGACCTGGAGCCCAGTGATAATCACACCAATCATCCTGGTGTACTGCTCCAGTTCTGTGATCCGGTTCTCCAAGTTCACAATATTTTTCCTCTTTCTCCACATCTACAATACATGTAGATTTACACATGTACATTTAGGGTGCAATACTATGGTATACGAAGAAATGAGATGAACATTCCTAGTCTTAGTGTTTGAAGATGCACACACGAGGCACAGTTCAAACATGACAGCATGGCTACAGAGCAAGAACGACACAAATCGTTGTTGTTACAGGACAGGATGCACATGTACACAAAAATGGATTATGAATCAGGAAGCTGAAACGGAGTCTATATCTGACAAAAGGCACAAAAGAGACTATCACAAGAAGAGGGCACACACGTGTTCTTATGAGCATGGGGACAATGAAATATAAACCAATATCCTAGACAATAGAGCTCTTTATATTGATTTAGAAATTTGTGCAAGATACTTATTTGTTCTTTATTTGAGAAGGTGAGAATGTGAATACAATTTTAGAGAATAAAAACAACAGAATAAAACAGGTAAAAACCTTCTAAGAGACAGAACATAGACTAAACAGGAGAACTTGATGTGAATATTTGGATTGGCACTAGTTAATGTGTCCACGTGGCTCCCTTAAAAAAAAAAAAAAAAAAAGAAGTTATGAGTCAAGCCCTGACTGAGGTGGCTGCCCGTGATTTTATACAAGGCATGGCTGACTTGTGAGACAGTCATCTGAGCTTCCCATCATTCAAGTCGCACCCCCCAGAGCAGATTGGTGGTTCAAAAGGTACTCCAGTGAGCAGATCACCCAAATACGAATCAAAACAATCCGGTGCCTATCCGCGTTCCCTCTCCATGTCTAGGAGGTTCATATTTAGGGTTTTTGACAAGTCTTCGTTTAGACTTATCAAAAAAAGCTCAAACGAGATTGAGATACACAAATCCGTGCAGTCCCTGTTAATCAAAATCGGGTTGATTACATCACATATCCGGTAACCGTTTTCAAAATAAAGGTATAATATATTTTTGCTTAAAGTAACACTAGACAAGAACAAGTTAAATCTTTGCCATTAAGTGCATATTTGTGCAAACACACACAGAAAACACGTAATTAAATGTGCTTTAAGTTTACGGTCGTTATAATTTGCGTAAAACTGTTTTATTTTGAAACAGCGTTGTCGCTTCCTGTTTCCTCACGGTTAACGGCTGCTAACCTGATACGGCTGCTCCACGCGCCGACTGCGGCTTCCAGCTGTCCCACTACCCCGCCGCCCAGCTATGGAAGGAGGCAACAGTTCCAAACAAACCCGCGTACACGGCCTCAAAACACCCGAAGTTAAACAAATTAACATGAAGTTTAAAAAAAAAAAACAGCGCATGGAGACGTCTTGAACGCTTTCAGCTCGAGTGAGTCAGTCTCGCGGCTGCCTCTACACAGCCGACCATCAGTGATGCTCCGGCGGCGCGTGCCACGACACACCGCTGCTTTTTAAAACCCCATCATTTATTTAGTTCAACAAACCCGAGACACGAACTCAGTTCACGTAAAACCGGGAGAAAACGACACCGAACTCGTCTCTTACCGCTGACATCGATTGGTGCTGGCGGGTCGTTCCTCCGCGCCGTGCCGCAGCCTCCACCCACCGGCCGGCCGCCTCTGACTGACACACTGCTGGGGATGATTTCAGTGAAGAACGCCGCCTGTCTGTCCACCTGTCTGTCCGTAGAGCAGAGCGCGTGAACATGCACGAGCCTCTAAGTGGGAAAGGGCGTGGCATCTGGTCCGTGGACCCTCCCCTCATCCGGCTGTACATAGGCCGAGCTAAATATCATTCAGAAATACCAGCGGTCAATTCAAGATGTCTATCTCCCGCCACAGACAGCTGGAGGCGGGCGATGATGTATTTGCCTACTTGTATCCGTTAGCAAAATATCTTGTGAACCACTGAACGAGTTTCTAAATAAAACTTGCATAAATCAATCATTGGGTGTTTACAACTGATGAACTTTAGGAGTCAACAGATCCAAGATGGCTGCCGTGGCCGACTGACCTTAAAGAGCACAGAAATGGCTATAATTCAGCTGTTGACCTCAAGTTTGGCGTGGCAGCAGATGAGACTTTAAAATGTAATCATTTACCTGGAGTCAGCTGTGTCTGTTAGCAAAGTATCCTGAACTTTTGGGCAGATTTTAATGAAACCATCAGGAAATATGGTTGTTTTTATACAACTGATTAGCTTTTGAAGCTAACCCACTTCAAGATGGCAGCTGACCTTAAAAAACAGAAAAAAAAAGGCTACTCAGTCAGTTTCACTGACATTATGTTATTTTTTGGTGTGGTAGCTGAGAGTCATAATCAACATACTCAGAGACATCTTGTACATTTGTTTACAAATCTCAGCCTGAATTCTTGACTGGGAGTTTTTTTTGTTTGTTCATCAGCAGCAGTGCAACAACAAAGATGCAATCAGCAAAATAATTTCCCTTCCAGGTGCCTGAGGGTCAACAGCTTGACCCTGCACGTGGGAGAACAGGTTCAGCAGGCCTTCTGGAGAGGTCTGTCAGATTGTTCTGTTTTAAGGTCAGGGTAGCTGTTGAGTAGTTTACTTGTGGAATGTATGAAGTCAGAAATGTTAAAAACAAAGAGCCACAATGCATTCTGGGATTTGCCCCACAGTCCTCCACATGGCTCTAGCAATCTGACAGGATTTGCTGTTTGCTCAGTGTTACATGATAATTATTACTTTTAAAATAAGTTATAATTTAATAAAGGCACAACGACAAAGTCCCTTTGTGCAAAAGTTTACTGCAATTATGTTTATTTTGCTACATCTTACTTAAACCCAGCAGAAAACAGCCATATTGATAAATTCTTATATTTGACCAGGTCAAAAATAATTAACTACTGATTCTGATATTTAAAGTTTATAAAGATCACATGTGATTGTTAAACATTCGTAAAGGGGAAGTGTTAGACTAATAACTTTATGTAAATTCAACAATTATGAAACCAGATTGCCCACAAATGGAGCCCTGGACTATACTGACCTCTGGTGGCGAGATAGAGAACTGCACGGAAAATGACGCTTTACTTAATCAAATTAAAAATAGTAAATTAAATAAACAAACAAAATAAATAAACTCTTATTTTCCCACGTATTAACAATAAAAACTTTAATCACGACACTGTTTTTAGGAAGTACCTTTCAGCAAAGTAAAATGTACTTTAACTGCTGCCCTCTTGTGGCCAACATAAAGTATTGCAACACACAAAGGAAGGATTTAGAATCACCTTGAATGACCCCTTTAGTGAAACTGTCATCAGAATTTAATCTAATACGCGATAACAAAAAAAATAAAAAAAATAAATACATAATAATAATAAAAAATAAAATATAACAATGTTTCGCTACCTCATATTTTAATTAAATTCACTTTATTTCTTTTTGTATAAAATATGTGACGGACACAGATCATGCAGTCAATTTTTGCACAACTAATCTGGGCTCATCTTCAAGCAGAACAGAAAACAGACTACTTAAATTATCTTCTTTGCATCTCCTCCAAAATAATGTTTATTTTTTTAAATAATTTCATACAATTTATTAAATGCTCACTGCATAATCACAGGACCTTAAAGTTGTGCTACTTTTATTTTAATTGCATTTTACTGTAGTTTATTGTTATTATGGTTTATTATTGTCTGTACTTTATATGTTCTGTCTGGAACAGGTCCTCAATGAGACTAGTCTGTATAAATAAAAATTGAATGAAAAAAAAAGTGCTCTAAATTTTCCATGTACACGTTCCCTTTTGATTAATCCTTGAAAATAACTATGTGCAATATTGCAAGATATCCCACTCGGAGTACGTGTTTTCAAAAACTCTGTTACTGTCACAAACTAGTTATACACACATCCAGTAATTAATTTCTTATAGATTAAAAAAAAATAATAAAAAAAATCTGTCTACTGGTTTGATTTTTTTCAACAGACAATGTTAAAGCCAACAGTTAATCCCATTTGCTTACGAAGCTGTATGAAACTGTGTTCCAGACAAGCAGAAGAAAAACCACACAGCAAAAGGCCCTGAACGCACCTTTCATGTCGCGTCAAGATTGTTTTATTTTGACAGCGTTTCAGAAAATAATACAGGTAAACAAGGTTTCTGCAAAAAAGTCAATATATCTGTAGTGTTGCATTTCATAAAAATGGATGCTCAGTCAGTCTTGGTGACTCAATAACACACGTCGACAGTTTAACACACGTCGACAGTTTAACACACGGCTGGAACACGACACAGTGAGGCCATGGTTCACCCTCTGACGTTTTAACGCACAGACGCTGCTCGCTCAGATGAAAGCGTTCGATTTCTTCTGAAATCGACTCACAGTTTGTCTCGATGGAGACGTGGGAAGATGTGCCAACACGTTAAGGAGCATTCTGAACAAACTGCATAAGATTTAAGTTTGAGGCCTTGTTTTTTTTTTTTTATTGCAGCTGAAGAGCTGTCCTTTTCCTCAACATCATAATCAAACCTTCTGGCTTGGATTGAGTTTTAAAGTCAGCCGGATTAATCACAGTGGCAAACAGGACAACTCCAGTTGAAAGTATTTAAGTATTTTCCTTAAAAGAGGATGAGGAAGGAAGCTTTAATTGGGGCAACAATTACCATTTGCAAAAAGTGCAAGAAGATTTTTAAACCCAAAAACCAACAATGTGCTCAAATTCTCCTCTAAGCATCTGTCAATCACATTTTAAAGTTGCAGTAATATCATGAAGACTTAAAAAAATAAAATCCACACAACTTTTTTTTCTTCTCATATTAATGGTAACGTGTTTAATTAAAACAATGTCAGTTTGTTAGTTTGCCTACAGAAACAGATAAGTGACTATAAACAGGTCAACAATGGGGAGAACCATTTGGGTTAGAGATGTCTGATTTTGATGTGATGAAACATATTTATACTCAAACTATACGCAGGTAAAGGTGCTTTGTTTAGATTGCATACCTGCATTTCAAAAATGCCTATAATAATACCTGGGAAAACTATGGAAGAAACTCAAGAGTACAAAACTCCGCCCGCCCGGTCACCCACGTTGTCAGCCGGGCTACAAATGGAGTGGAGCGTTTTCCTGGAACACAAAAGTTGTCTTAACTTTGCTTCTCTTGCTTTTTTGAAATGTAGCGTTGTTGCTGTAATTTCCAACATTTTATTTTTCTGGGGCTCTATTAAAATAGTTTATCAAAGATTATTATTATTTTTTTTGTCTTACCCTGATGCAGATTCCCCAGTCAAACATATTAGTCCCAGCAAGTTGTTTTGCTCCTAAGGGCCACAAGCAGATGTTGGAAACCTCATCCTAAAACCAGATTTTCCTAATAGAGGCATGGAATGAAAAGCTGGTGATATTAAAACACACTTTTTCCAGTGTTGTTGCTCTCATTTAATTAAAAAGCTCAGAGTCCCGGGTCTCTTGTCTACACCTCACTGGTGATCTGTAGCAAGTGGCGTACGATAGCTTCACAAGTGGTTAGGTGATAGTATAAAAAATGCAAACGAGTACAACCTTTAAAGACTGCTTCATAATAAATCCAACTTTCAGAGAGCTTTGGCACAAATATGCAGGTTTTAACGTCACACAGCGCAGACAGAATAATTCAGCCACATGTGCAACCTTTCCCCGCAACACAAGCGGAGAACTAGCACCCATTTAATACGACTCAGTGTCAGGTTGTACTACTTGGTGCAAAGCTCTGCCATGTGCTGACATTTGATAAGTGGGAATTAATGATGTCGATTTTTATTAAAAGAAAAAAAAAATCATCATGAACTGTGTCAAGACCCCTGCTAATGAGGTGTTTGACACGAACTTGTGAAATAAATTAAAATATTTCACTATATTACACTTGAAAATACCATTTATTGTTCATTTGTGTAGAGTTGGAGTTTGTATAGCAGCCTGTCCCAACACCGCTAGAAAATGTTTAAAACGTATATAAAAACACAATTCAAGGCTTTGCAAAGCTCATAAACTCTTATTTCATTCACAGTGGAACACGGGGAACATATCAAACGTTTAAAAACTAAGAAACTGTACCATGTATGGGACAAATGATGTAATTTTGAATTTTGATGGCAGCAGCACGTCAAAAATAAATACTTCACAAACTGTTCTGCGTAGATGGTGCCTTTCCAGATGTGTAATCTGCCCATGTCAGAGGCATTAATGTACCCCCATACCGTCAGAGAGGCAGAAATTTGAACTGTGCGCTGATAACCAGCAAGGTGGTCCCGACTTTGCCTCAGTCCATTTAAAATGAGCTTTGGCTCAGAGAAGACGGTGGCGTTTCTGGACAGTGTTTACATAAAACTTATTCTTTTCATAACATCTTATGTCGTAAGTGCTCAGATATTGGTTTCTCAGACTACGCTATTGGTTGTTTTTTAACTTTCAGATCGAAGGCAATGTCTTCAACATAACAGTACTTCTTCCAGCTATTTAACGGTCAACAATGGTGTACCACAAGGCTCAGTCTTAGGACCTACCTTCTTCACAATCTACGTAAGCAATGTACATGTAGATCAGATCATTCCTGATGCATCCTTACACTTCTATGTCAACAACACAGTTGTTTATTGTCAAGCTAAAACAGTTGCTAAGCTTTTCCAGCTGTTCCAGTCTACATTCAACATCATCCAGTCAGATTTGTTCCATCTCAAACTGGCGCTAAATGCTAATAAAACTAAAGGGATGTCGTTTTCAAACAGGAAGTCGGTCCTTCATTCTATGCGCTCTCAAGACATAATTACCTGCAGCGACCCGTCAGTGCGAACTGTATTTGGCAAAAGGACCTTCTCCTACTCCGCTCCTGTAATATCTTGCAAAAAGATGTGAAGTTCTCGACTTTAACCTCCCTAAGGGATTTTAAACATCTAAGTTCAATGCAGACATGTTCCTGTTTTTAGCTTTTTACATTGCTTTATAATGTAGCATGTTTGTTTTTTTTTATTTCTTCTTATATCACTTATTTTATTTGCTTTTAAGTGATTTGTTTTATTGCTGTGTGTGTCTCATCTGCGTGTCTTTTGTCTAAAACAGGTCTCTCTTGTAAACGAGTCCTTGTGGCTCAGTGATGTTTTCTCCAGATAACTTTTAATAATTGACTTGTTATGTACGTGATTGTTTCTGTTCAGGACAACTTCTGTGATTTGTGCTATATAAATAAAATGAAGTTTTTACTGCAGTGCCTCCTGAGGGACTGAAGCTTTGACCTTTGCACACAGATTTATACCAACTTCTAAAATTGTTTGATGATTTTAGAACATATAGATGAACTATTTAAATCTTCCTTTTGTTTTACCCTGACTGGTGAAACTCCGCCTCTCGGTGCTCTTTTTATACCCAGTCCTCTGACGGACTTGTTGCCAACTAACCAATTAGCTGCAAAAGCCTCTTCCAGTTGTTGCTTATTTGAACCACTTCTCTTTTACAGCCTTTTGTTGCCTCCGCCCCAACAATTTAGAAAGTGCTGTTGCCATTAAATTCAAATCTACTTATTTTTTTTTTTGTGTTCCTAAAAATGGCTCCCTTCGTTGCAACTTTGATTCATTGTGAATAAAATACGACTTCGTGAGATTTGCGAACGACTGGATTCTGTTTCTATACACCATCCCAGCTTTGATGCATTTAAACCTTTGACACAAAATCCAGACTCTGTCAGTCTAAGGCACACGTCCTTCCTGTTGCTGTCATGCAGGCTTCTTCTCTAAGTGTCCTTCTGGACACCGCTGTCACAGATTTTTAGTTTTTTTTTAAGCACAAAAAGACAAAAACAACAACAAAAGCAGACACTGCAAGCTGATGGTCCTGGTTCATGTAGTGCCGCTTCGCTTTGTTCGTACACTAGAGCTTCAACTCCTCTATAAGGTTCTTCTCTACGAAGATCTTATTTACACAGTTTTTCCACATATTTCTGTATATTATATATCTATAATCGTCTCTTTGATTATTTTCGGTGGACACGGTCCTGGTTAAGGCAACGCTCTGCTGATGGCTGGACTTCATCTCCGCTTCATTCGCTCATCAAAAACAAGACGATCCAGCTTGCAAAAACATCCCACTTCGGAAAATAGACGCCGCTGTGCACAGTGCACGTAATATAAAAAAATAAAATAAAACTCGCAGCCTGCTTCCTGTCCAGCTCAGATTGATGAGAACTCAAAACAGGCGTCTCCAAAAATTCCTTCCTCTCAAGGAAATCCCCGCTGCGCTACAAAAAGTGTCTACGTTCTCCTTAAAGTGGATGATTTTCCAGTACTTAATGAGGTGGATGTAAATATATATATATATTTTAGAATAATTTAAAATACAGTATTATAAATAAAACTTTATAAACACGTGGTCCAGGTCACCTCTGCTGTCTGATTGGGGGAGGGGGGGGGGGGGGGGGCTGGGTGTGAGGGCCACCGTTTCCTGCTGGAGCTGGGCCGTTATCTGCCGAGCGTGGAGGCGGCGCCCGTGCGCAGAGCGCTCGGCAGCTTGTCGGATCCGGGGATCTTCCACGGCCCAGGAGAGACCGTGGCCTTCCGCCCTGCGGCGGTGCCGCTGCTCTTATTGGAGCGGCTCGCAGCCAGACCAGCGTCCGGCTCTCGGAGCCTGGGTTTGCTCTGCTTCCCGTCGCTCCGGCACTCCGCCGCGCTGCTGGTCCCATTCGAGTGCTGGACCTTGGAGCTGCTGGGACAGTGAGCGCAGTCTCTGCTGTCCCCAGTGCTCCTCTCCTTGGACGTTCCTCTGGAGCTCCTGAAAGCTCCGGGCTCAGCGCTCTGCCCCTCGTTGCACCCTTCTCCATCAGCAGAGGGCTGCTGCACCCTGTGCCCCTGACGGGTGGACCTGCCACCCTCCTTCTTGGCTCGGCTGCTCCCGCCGCCTGCAGCCACTCTCCTCGCCTGGCTGATGGGATCTCGGATTAGCAGCTCAGCTCTCGGGGGGCTCTTGCTGTCTTGAGGGACGTCCTGAGGAGGCAGATGAGGAAGGTGGGGGGCTGAGGCTAAATGAGATGAAGGCGATGGCGTGGAGAAGCTGTCAATGAGAGGGGCTACTTCCGACAGGCTTGGGGAGGCTGAAGGTCGACCATCCCATGGGGAGGCATTGTCTGGAACAGAAATTCCAACATTTACTATCATTAAACCCACACAAGCACACACCACCGCACCACCAAACATTAAAAACTTCAACTAAACAGCCTTCCTGTGACGAATCCGTGTCACTCGCCACATTTCATGCCAGAGTTTTAAACTAAAATCGTTCGTTGAGAAGCAAAGACGACATTTTGGTTAAACCGTGACAATATTACGCACAGTCTTTTAGGATGTGTTGGGAACGACTCGTCCAATTTTAGCTCCGTGTGCGCAAAACTGACCGAGTTCAAGTATTTTGTGTTGACTAAAGGTGGATTATCTGTGGCAGCCATCTTGTATTGATAAAACATTAATTAGTTGACGATCCAGGCTGTGGTGGAAATATATCCATTTATTTATTACATCAAGGTCACTATACATTCAACTTTATAGGGGATGGGGGACAGCGCAGTGCATTTTAAACATTATCTGGACATCATAACTGTGCAGAGTATCTGAAGGCAGTTGTCACTAAAATACCATATTTTTCAGATTATAAGGAGCACTTAAAATCCTTTAATTTTTAAAAAAATCAACTGTGAGCCTTATAATCCGGTGCACCTTATGTATTAATTATAGTTGTGCTTACTGACCTCGAACAGATTTTATGTGGTACAACTGAACAATGTTGAGCGTTATTGTGAATAAGTTGAATAAAGTTTGATTTATCTGACTGTTTTGTTTTGCTTAATGAGCCTTATGTATGAAAACAGACCCGTTCATTGATATTGCGCCTTATAGTCCGAAAAATACGATAAACACCAACAAGTTATGTTGGCAAACATGCCTGAATATGAAGTGAAGAACATCATTTAGCTGATTTTAGCTTAGAAAATAACAGAATTTGTCTCCATAATTATGTAATAAAATTTATTTACATATAATTGCTATACTTTTTTTTGGTGTTGTATCAATTTGCACAACCGGAGTTTTTGTACAGAACACATGTTAAAGCTATATGTTGTGCATGAATACAGACCTCGCGACAATAATAATGGTCGGAATGTGTCTTGCATTACAACACATCTTTTAAACGTTTCATATTTGTGTGACTGTTTATGAAGCATTCACACTATTGTGATCCATTTTTCTTCCGTACATTTGACGGCATCTTTCTCGTTCCACAGTTTTTGTGCTATTTCAACAAATTATATATTAAAACGTTCAGCTCGTGCTATGACTTTTGGTATTGGTGCAACTTTAGCTTTTTGAAATATTTAGCCTTTTCTGCCACTTTTGTCTCATAGAAAATTAATTGAGCTCATTTTACATCCTTCATATCTTTAGATGTGTTTACAACCTTTTACTGCTCCCTTCACATTTTGTTCTGCTTGAGCTTCTTTCAGCTTCCTTCTGCAATTTTAAACTATTTTCAGCTACTTTCAGCTATTTTTACAGCTGTTTTGTGGTCCTTTTAGAGTGTTTCTGCTAACTACAACATTTTTGTACGTCTTATAACTTACTTCTGCTAATTCTTCTTGTTAATCTCCTTTCAGCTTATTTATGCAAGTTTCAGCATTTTCTGCTATTTCAGCTACTATTTAGCTGTTTTATGCTAATTTGAGCTACTTCAGCTAATTCTACATTTTTTTGCATTCATTTAAGCTTTTATCAGCTTAAATCAGCAAAAGTGTGCTCTCTCCACTTCCGCCTGGTAATTTAAGCTTCTTTCTGTCCTTTTTAAGCTACTTTTCAGCTGTTCCCCCCCCCCCCCACCCCCCCAGATAATATCTACTTCTTTGTGCTCATTTCTACTTCTTTCAGCCTAATTGGACAAACATGTGCTTTTTCTCTTTCTTCTGCTAATTTACGCTTGTTCTGCCTTTTCAGCTAACTTTGTTTTAGCATTTTTTAGCTAATTTTAGCTGTTTTCAGATAAATTCAAGTTTTTTTGTGCTAATTTATGCTGCTTTCAGCCTAATTAAATTATTTCTGCTAATTTCAGCTTGCTATATTAATTATTTATGCTAGTTTCAGTTATTTCTGCCACTTTTTTTTTTTAGCTTTTTTAATGCTAATTTTAGCTTTTTCAGCTAATTCTAGATTTTTTTCATCTCATTTCAGTTTTTTTCCACTTCCTTCTGATATCTTACACTTCTTTTTACCTTTTTAGCTACTTTTCAGCTATTTGTTCTAATTTCAGCTTCTTTTTAGCTGATTTTCAAATTACTGTGCTAATTTCTGTTTACTTAAACCTAATTCAGCAAATATGTGTTATTTCTGCTTTCTTCTGCTAAATTTGGCTTGTTCTTTCATTTCAGATACATTTCAGATTTTTTTTTGTGTGTGGCTAATTTCAGCTGTTTTCAACAAGTTCTTCTGCAATAAGCATTCACTCTATTTCTCTAGTTAGATTCAAACGTTGAATATAAATGATCAATTCACATTTTTATTTCTCAGCCCCACAGCTCAGAGGAGAGAAGCCACATTATATTGTGTCTGTTTCCACTTGGTGCGGTGTCTAACCTCTGCACGATGCCTTCCACTGTACTGCAAGTTTCTAGAGCACTATAGGGTGCATGAAAAATTACAGGTAAAAACTCAAACAGCCGTACAAAATGTTTGAGTCACAATTTAGTGAATGAGTGGCCAATTTAAACACAGCCCTCATAATTCTTACTTGACTCCAAAAGTTAAGTTATAGATGTACATCCAGTGAGTTTTATTAAAGCTTGTGCAGTGCTTCGTGGACAAACGTTCACACGCATGGGGTTAAAAGCATTATCGCCCGCTGTTTGCCTATCGCAGCAGTCAATCCTGTTCTACAAGCTGGAAGCGTTGCCATCAGAGCAGCGCTATTAACCTACTTCTCAATGCGTCACAGAGCAACTCCACTTTTAGACGAGATCAATCTGCCTCCCACAGCTCTCTTTAAGGGCTGGGCCAATCAAAACGCTCGGTGGAAAATCAAAAAACGGACTTAATGAAATGGACGATGTGTCTAACAGGGTTGTACGTCAGCGAGGCTGAGCACGCCGCTCGCAGCAGTGAGTCCCCGATGCCTTCCTCTAAAACTCTCCACTCTCACGGACTGTTAGCTCTGGTTTCTGCACCGGTGAGCCTCGCTCCCTCGGCCATCAGTCATGTTCAAGGGTCCGGGCAGGGGGCAGAGGCTCGGCTCGCTACTCTAGCACCACAAGGCCCAATTACAAGAGGACTTTCACACAGCAAAGAGCATATTAGACAAAAGAGTAACCAGGAAGCTACAATATTCCTGGAAGAAAGCACTGACAGTGTGCTTCTCGAGATTTGATTTTATCATTAAATCTTACAAAACGACTTGAACTTGAGCTGCATAAACACACATTAAACTACGGGGGAGCAAGGACAATGTTGTTCAGGAGATGCACAAATATGCTGGAATTTACACTGTATCATCTTTTTAACCAAATATTGTCCAGCTTGTGTTTACCTGCCTCTTAAGCTGCTTAGTGCACACTGCGGTCGCTCGTCACCAGCTAGGTGATCATTTAGTCTGAGAATTTCAGAGCAGACATTCTCAGAGAGGTCGGAGATATTTTCCAAGCCAGGTTTTAACACGAGTGTGAAAACGTTAAAATGCTTACTGGATGTACAACTGGTGTGCTTCTTTAGGAGACTAGGATGAGATTTTTTGGGAGTTTGTTGCAAGTTTTGCCTGTGTCCTTGCGTCTGTAGATATGGTGGCGGCCATATATACAGACACAAACACAAGGATACAGGCAAAACTTGCAGCAAAAAACATCTCATAATACAAACCAGACTCCAAAAAAGTTGAGACACTAAACAAATTGTGAATAAAAACTGAATGCAATGATGTGGAGGTGCCAACATCTAATATTTTATTCAGAATAGAACACAAATCACAGATCAAAAGTTTAAACTGAGAGAATGTATCATTTTAAGGGAAAAATCTGTTGTTTCCAAATTTCATGGCTTCAACAAATCCCAAAAAAGTTGGGACAAGTCCATTTTTACCACTGTGTGGCATCCCCCCTTCTTCTTACAACACTCAACAGACGTCTGGGGACAGAGGAGACCAGTTTCTCAAGTTTAGAAAAAGGAATGCTCTCCCATTCATGTCTAATACAGGCCTCTAACTGTTCAATCGTCTTGGGCCTTCTTTGTCGCACCTTCCTCTTTATGATGCACCAAATGTTCTCTATAGGTGAAAGATCTGGACTGCAGGCTGGCCATTTCAGTACCCGGATCCTTCTCCTACGTAGCCATGATGTTGTGATTGCTGCAGAATGTGGTCTGGCATTATCGTGTTGAAAAATGCAGGGTCTTCCCTGAAAGAGATGACGTCTAGATGGGAGCATATGTTGTTCTAGAACCTGAACATAGTTCTCTGCATTAATGGTGCCTTTCCAGACATGCAAGCTGCCCATGCCACAAGCTCTCATGCAACCCCATACCATCAGTGATGCAGGCTTCTGAACGGAGCGTTGATAACAACTTGGGCTATCCTTGTCCTCTCTGGTCCGGATGACATGGCGTCCCAGTGTTCCATAAAGAACTTCAAATCGTGACTCATCTGACCACAGAACAGTCTTCCATTTTGCCACACTCCATTTTAAATGACCCCTGACCCAGTGCAAACGTCTGAGCTTGTGGAGCTTGCTTAGAAATGGCTTCCTCTTTGCACTGTAGAGTTTCAGCTGGCAACAGCGGATGGCACGGTGGATTGTGTTCACTGACAATGCTTTCTGGAAGTATTCCTGAGCCCATTCTGTTATTTCCTTGACAGTGGCATTCCTGTTTGAGGTGCAGTGACGTTTAAGGGCCTGGAGATCACGAGCATCCAGTAGAGTTTTACAGCCTTGACCCTTACGCACAGCGATTGTTCCAGATTCTCTGACTCTTTTGATGTTATGCACGCTTGATGATGATAACTTAAAAGTCTTTGCTATTTTACGCTGGGTAACACCATTCTGGTATTGCTGCACTATCTTTCTGTGCAACAATGGTGGAATTGGTGATCCTCTTACCATTT